CTCACGGCAACACCCATGAGCTTAGAACATGCCTATTTCTTCAAAACTGCTGAAACATCCAGTGTGGGTTTTAGTTTGGTATTTTTGTGTGGCTTCTTTCTTTTTGCTTGTCCTAGGTTGACTGTATGATGTCTTCATCGCCAGTTGTCTGCCCTGTTTATATTGAATAAGGTTTTCTCTTTTTGGTTGCAGGAAGAGAGTGAGGGGGAGCAGGTTCTTGGTGGGAGTTTTTTGTTGGTTTTGGGATTTCTTTTGGGTTTTTTTAGGGGTTAGGGAAGAAGACAGGAGAAGAAAAGAATGGATTAATCTAGAGTGTCCCATAGAAAATATGCAAACCTGTTTAGTCTTTATTTAAACAGTTTCAATAGATGGCAACCCTCCCCTTAATCAACACAAAGCACAGCAGCAACACAAACAGAGCGGCAGCTCCAGCCTTGCACAGGGAACAACGACCACACACCAGGGCTCCTCTGAGCAGGAGGCACCTCTGAGCTTCTGGTGTCACTGTTGAACATGAGCACAGCCCAGGGAACAAGCACAACAGCTCCCAGGGAGATGAGCTGTAAGTGCCAGGCACCAGGTAAGCGCCCAACGAGGGAGCACGTTCCAAGAGCAGGGGATGCTCTCCAGGGAACCAGCACAGCTCGATGTGAAGAGAGGCAAACCCAGCTTTGGGGACTGAAATCACATTCTGAGCACAGAGAAAATGCTGGCTGGCTCCTGCTGCAGCACACAGACAACACACAAGTACTTGCTTGTGCCAAAGGAGTTTCCTGCCATAGTTTCCTCCTCTTACCAAACAAGAAAATACCAAGAACCACTGTATCACCTGGAAGATCACTGGGTAGCTTTTAAAAATTTAAAAAATTAAATTAGAATAAATAAAACATTAAGAACTACCAGACTTAGTAGTCATGTTAGACCAACTTCAAGGTCTTTGTGAGCTGAAGCACTAAACCAGGATGAGTCACTGGAAGGCTGTCCACGAGCCCAGGAGAGCACTTTTAGGTTTCTGCCAACCCCTCATCTTGGCCAGTGCATTTTACTTGGAGCTTGAATTGGGTATCTGTTTTTCAAAATGCCTGCTATAACAGCCTTCTCCCCTCCTGCTTTTGTTGAGCATGGAACAGTCACTGTCTGACCTCTCTTCAACCTGAGTGAGTCAGGAAATTCATTAACCCTTTTGCTTAATCCTCAGGGTGGCATCCTACTGAGCATGTACTGAGTTAGACTGTGTTCTCCCAAATGGATAAAGCTCTGGAAAACTTCACAGAGAGCAACTGTCACCCACTTGGTACAGAAGTTAATTTTAGACCTTTTCTTAATCTGACTACCCAAATTATTTTGATGTACATGAAATAACAAGCTACCTTGAGCTGTTGCTCCACAAGAAATGCATTTTGTTAATTTATATTGTTGGCAATATCTTCTGTCCCTGGTTCACTCTCCATATTATGCAGATTTAGTATTTTAGAAAAGACAAGGATGATCCCGAAAGCTAGGGAAGATTTTTTTTTTTCCTTGACCAAAACTAAGGAATCTAAATTTGAATCCTATGTTAATCTTAGATAGCAGGCAGCATTTAGAGCAGAAGTCTGAATATGTTTACCACCAGTATATGACAAATTTATTTTTACACCTTTTCCAAATATATTTTAATCTCATTTAGCTTTGTTAATTTTTCTAAGAAAATAGTTGAGGATATTCTAGAATTTCCGCTGTAAGTTTAACTACTTGCTTAGAGACAGTCATCCTCATCCAGAGATGAAGTCACTGGGATATAAAGGTGTATCAGTCTGCCACAATGCCTGAAAATTTAGTCACACAAATTCCACTAATGAATGAGGACCATTGCTACTAAAGAATCAATTTTACCTCCATGATTTTGATGTACCACAGGAAAGAATCTTTTTCCAAATAGATTTTCTTTCCTTTTAGCCCTCACTGAACATACAGAAAATTATTTGTCCAGCAACAGAATTATCCAGCAAGCATTTTTACATTTTTTTCAGGTTGTAAAACTCCTCAGATACTGTCAAGAACTTATCAAGATGCAACAAAATTCCTGTAACCTTTATCTGAAAAGAAAAGCTAACCTTCATATATGTTCAACAACCTAATTTCTTAAAATTTTCTGATAAATAGCAGATTTGTTTATTGGTACAAAAATTATTTTCTCTTTAAAATTTTTGACATATTTTGTTGCCAAGACCTTAGTAGATGGGATTTGGCAAGTGATTTCTGTCCTGATGTTCCCCTCCTTGGAAGAGTAAAAAACCCTTAGCTCACCACAAGACTAATCATCGTTGTGAGGTCTCTGTAGCATTTAAGGTGATCAGGCACTACTATTTTTTAACAAGACTTCACTGACTTTGGTTAACAAACATAATAAGCAAAATCAATACATTAAAGACTAAACCTATAAACGACTCTGGCATCATGCAGCATTAGGAAAACTTCAGGCAAACAAGCATAAGTGGTATTCAAATTTCCATTAGTCACTTAGAGTGGAAAATCTGACGTGATTATCAATTAGTGGGATGGGATATTCAACTTATTTAACCAAGAAACCACAGTACAGAGTGAGGCTCCTTAGTTAAAACAAACATCTCATTAAAAAAATGCTTTAGCATTTCTTGTGTTTATTTAAAATCAGTCATCATTTAGGTACTTAAAAGCTATAAAACTGAAATCATGCAGACCTTACCAAAAGTAGGTCCTACCCTTCCTTTTCAAGTTTCATAACTTTTGGTGAGTTTATACACTACTGAAGGTTAATGATGAGCTAATACCTGTTTAAAATGTCTGTTTTAAAAATACAGCAGGCACTGAGCATCTCCCTGTTCCTGCAGCACACAAGCTTGCTTTCTTTCTTGTGCTCAGATTAATGGTTTGATGTTTCCCAAACTGTGAGTCAGAATAGCTGCTTCTGCCTCTCTGCACTGTGGTTACGCTTCCAGCATTCTGGAAACTTGTGTCAGCGTGTACCTTATGCAAGCAGGGCTCAAAGGCCACTGTATTTGAATTGCAACAAAGTTGGGGTTTTTTTTACTTTTTTTTAAGGCATTTCTTTATAGTTTTGACAGGTTATGGTCACTGCTTTATGCCTACAAATGGATTGTGCAGAAGTGGATGGGAAGAAGAAAGTGCTGGCCAGCAAATGTGATTGTAGCTTTTTAGGTCCCTATGCTCTGCAGTAATGGTGACTGATGGTGACTCAAGATTAAACAACTCTAGTTTCAAAGAGCTGTTAAGGCCTGATTCATCAGAACTCTAAGTTCTACTATCTATAACAATGTGCCACAACTTTTCTTGATTAAGGTTTCGTTACTTGTTACCTCTATTGTTACTCTAAAGACCCTATTCATGCTCCATATAGGCTCAGGTTAGTACTATTCTTGAGAAAATGATGGGTAAAACATAGGTGCTTTGCCAGATGCACTATGTCCTGATTTGTGCTCTTTTCTTGTTGGCTCTGCTGCTGGACAGATATTAGCTCTGATAGGAGGTCTGTGTTTCAATAAGAGGCTTAATGTGCTCAGTTTGAAGTTAAGGGATCAGGCTAAAGAACAATCTCATCTTGTGGAACTTAATCAGGAAGGGTGACTGAAGTTGTTGGAGTTTGCTGTGCCTGAGCCCATGCAATGGACAGGAGATGAGCCCTCACCAGGAGAAGGCATAGATATATTACGGGACACTTGCCATAAATGAGAAGGAAGAAAATCCTTTGAATGCCTGGAGTTTAACAGTAGCTGCTCTCCTCCAGCTCCAAGGAGGAATGTCCTCTGAGAGAAGTGTGCTGGTGCTTTTTCAGTGGTCTCTCCTCTCTGCACTCAGAAGCGGTGAAGAGGAGACGCGTAATCAGCCGAACTCCCACAGCAAACAGCCAGATTGTTTGGCATGGCTCACATCACCTCCTACGTTGACAGGCCTCTCCTTAAGTTCTTAATAAATCACATGAGCCCTGTCCCTGCTGTGCACAGCCAGGAGTTTGGTTTTGGAGTAGTAAACTTGGCAGACATGCATCCTCATGGAGTAATGCAAAACTAACTACTTCTGATGCACAGGTTTCTTGCTTTTATCAAAAGTTTTTAATGTAACCAAGGAAGACACTATAAGCTTCTATCACAAAAAAATATCAAAGGGTCCAATTTTTCACCAACCTGTTCTGCCTTCATTTGGATTTGAAAAAGAGCACCTGGAATCCTGGAAAGGAACTTTTGAGGCTGTGAGATCCAGAGCAAGCTAGCAACACATCTGGTTTGGTGAGCTCTAGGAGTCCTGGCTGATATACATCTCTGAGCAGAACTGTTGTCCCTCCCGTGGAGATGGGAGGGCAAGAATAGCTAATTATGTCAGTTTTTTGCAGTCAAATTCCTCCATTCAAAAGCAGATGATGATGATGATTTTCTAACATTTTACAAGGACCAAGGCCAAATGAAACTCACTTTCTCTTAATTCTGAAATTTTCTCAAGCATATTCAGAGAATAGATATTTTAACATAATTAATTTAATTTACCAAAAGGAGACAATATATTGTGATGCTGTCAACATTTTTGGAAGAAAAACAAGTGGGTGTAAATTTTTTATTGTTTTAGTAGTTGGGTGTGTTGTTTGCTTGTTTTTCACATTAGCCAATGACTCAACATAACTATAATAAAAAGTTGTCTTCATATTAAACCTGAATACAGAGCAGTATTAGTCACCCATCTTCAGCAGTAGGGTGTGCCAATTATCTGCCAAACAGCTTGCACAGTTCAATGACTCCAAGTAATTTTGCTGACATCCTTAAAATAGGTGTTTATGCAACAGCCCTTCAAACATAAATAAAATCAAGATATATGGTGAAATAAAGTTCTGTGCCTCAAAGGTGATTTTTTGATATTTCCCTTCTTTTAAAGATCACATGATAACCAGATCATTTAAGAGGGAAGTAAGTTATGAGTGCAGCTGGTTTCTGCCCTCACACCAGTTTTTTCCTCAACTTCTATCCAGGTTTGCAAGATATGTTACATCAGTTTGGAGATATCCTTATCTCCTTCAAGAAGACCCCTGTAATATTTACTGCGCTGTGATGTGTGTGCCTCCTTCCTCCTTTATCTCCTCTTCCTCCTAAGACTCCTGCAAGCACCTGGCTTAATTTTACTACAGTTGGATCAGGTTTGGCCATTCAGCATTATTTGAGAACACTGAATTAATGATTACTATGCATGGGTATTATATGGAGAGCTGTTTTCCTTCTCAGCCAAAATATTTTTCTCAGTCTTGCAGAAATTCACTTCCTTATTGATGTGGAAAATCTGAGTCAGCAGTGCTGGAAAACTCAAATGTGATGTGAGAACTGTGCTGGAAAACATTATAGTGGAGACATAGTGAAGAGAGGTAAAAATTACTTGAAGAATTTAAGATTTATTTCCTTTGATTGTCTCAGAATGTTCTGGAGGAACCAAGTCCTCCCTCCTTCAAAAGATTGTATGCTCAGTTCTAACTGGTTCCAGTGACATTTATTTTGTATTAAAGGAACTTCCCAGGTCTGTGAGTGAAGGTGAAAGTTGGTATATTTTCATATGACATGAAAGACCTGTGCTTTTCCACTGAATTATTGATTAAATCCTTGCAGACATTGCTTAAGGAGGAATTTTGGATGTGATGAGACTGGGTAGAGGCTGGGAGCAGCTATTATCTCTGTCTGTAAATGTTATCAAGGTGTACTGGCTACCAGACATTTCTCTTCTTTAAGAAGTGATCATGCTATTTTCATTTCATTCCTATTCCTTCCCATGAGTAATGCAACATGGAGTCCAAACAGCAAGAAAACATGCACAGTTTCTTAATAAGACTTACTTCATTGGAAAGTCTGAGGAGTTGGTTTATTATCTTTTTTTTTTCCTCCCAGACACTCTAAAAAGAGCAGATTGTAGAATGGGGTGTATTATTCTTATGATATTAATCTATTTACAGGTACTGTATAGCCACAAGATTTATACTGATTTTTCATACCACCTATTAGCTCGTTGATTGTGACTGCACTTGCACAGCAAGCTCCAGCACATGTGCAAGGCACTCAGCAGCAGCCAGGTGCTGGAGGAAAGAGTCCAACCTGAAATAAGAAAACTGGCCATATTCAGTGTGGTCCAAGTGAAGTTGAAGGGCCTTGAATGACAGTATTCCTTGTGAACTCCAGAGGGAAGATCTTGATATTTCTGTTATTTACAGCTACATTTGAAAATATATGGAGGATGAGCAAAATACCGGTAGGCAGAAATAAAAGTGATAATAAAATATTAAAATAAAATAGTAATAAAATAATAATAAAAAGAAAAGCTTTCTTTCTATCATACTTTAAAGAGGAAGAAAAGGGTGAGATGGCAAATTGTCTCTCAGCTTACTAAAAGGTTCTGAAGAAATGCTTGGCAATTGCAGCAGAGTTTACAAGTATATTGAAGAAAGCAAAGAACTGAGAAACAGCCAGAAGGAATCATGGCTAAACAATCTAATTTCTGCCTTTGAAAATATGAAAGGCTTTTTCAACAGGTAGAAACAGCAGATGTTATGCATTCGGGCTTTACCATAAAATCGTTGTGCTGTTTCACTCAACACTTTCTGGTGAGGAAGCATGTAGAGCTGCATGTCCTGAATGCTCAGTGCAATACTGGCTGGAAAACTGTTTCCAGAATTCAGCACCTTAAAGTCAGGGAATATGACCTCTGTGTGGCACTCAGGAACAGTTTGTAATAATGATGGGATGATGAAATAAGGGCACGGTCATTAAATTCAGAGGTAACATTAGGCTGGAAAAGAATAGGAACGTATAGACAGGCTTAACTTTATAGTTGGCCTTGACAAGCTGGTGAATAAAAGTCAACAAGGACAAGTGCAAAGCATTGCATCTCAGTGGGAAACATCTTTTCAACAGGAGAGCAGACCTCAAGAAGTATTCAGATTATTGAATAATATAATTCTAAAGGACAGAATAAAAAACAACCAAGACAGCAACATTTTGGTAGAAAGGGACCTAGGAATGATTCTGGTCCGTGGGTTGTATGAGATGGTAGTGGTGTTCATGTGAGAAAGTAAGCATTTATATAGGAGTGAATTTAAAAGATGAGCTGTGTGAATAATGTGAAATAACCTTTCTTCATCATTCACTACTACATGGTTAATATGGCAGTGCTGTATTTTAGACAATATTAATGAAAGAAATTGTGGAAGATATAGGATAAAAGGTCTCCAAGGGGAAGATAAAAATTGTTTAGAGGTTTGTCTAACAGGGGAAAATAAGCCTTTTAATGCACAAAAAAAGCTGCAAAAGCTAGTCAGTCTGTATTAACATACAGACAAGAAACACACCAGAAAGTATTGAGTTTACCTTGCAAAAAGGGAGCATTAATTATTAGCTAAGGAATAAGGAAGTACTGTGCAAAAAAGGCGTGGAACGCTGGTGTCATGTTGTAGCTGTGAAAAACAGGTTAAGCAAACTTTCTTCAGGAATGACAGGTATGATTGAAGCTGCCTTAGTCTGAAGGATAGAAAATAGTCCTCAGCAGGTTTCTTCTCCTCTTCTGCTCTGTGATATTGATCAGAAGGACTTTAACCAGATGTCCAAACTAAATTGCAAGCATCAATGCAGCTCAGTGCACACTAGGGGTGGAGCATCTGGGAGCTGCCTGTAAAATGAGCTTAGATTTTAGGTAGAGATGTCTTATTTTAAACTGTTTCTCTTCTGCTCACACGTAATATAGGCATTTTATCTCTTTTTGTGATTTTGCGTCTGACCCCAAATATCCAAGCAGAGGTATATAGCTGGTAGTCAAACTCAGCTGGACATTTTGAATTAAAGTGCATGGCAGATAGAAATATCATGATCTTGGATGCTAAAGTACACGCAACTGTTGTAATAAGCATTGACAGATTGGCAAGGGCAGCCCTTCCATGTAATGGTTGTCCCTTTCAGAAATAACATGCTGTCATTTAGCAGTAAGTGATAAACAAATAGTCCTTAATTTATCACAGAATTGTTTACTTTAGATCAGTCATCCATATGCAGACGATTCAACTCTTGATTAATCTGTTTCAGTATCTTGGTGGCAAGCTTTTTTCAATTTTCAAATTATATCTCTGTCTTTCACAGCACAAACAATGGGAATGGAAAATTGCTAAAGCTGTAATTATGAACATCATTATTTTCTCTGCTTTATTCATCTCTCTAATAATTTTGAGTGTTTGCTGTGTCTAAGATGAATACATAAATGTGGACTACTTTCATTGGAAAGAAACAGGACAAATATGCAGCTGATCAATTTTTTCTTCATGCATGTATGAAGGCAAAAATTCTACAGAAATTTAAAAAATAATCTACCATATAGAATGCAAGAAATATCAGTGCAAAAGCTGACACTTCAAGGATTCTGCTTCCCTTCAGTGTTATCCTCACTGCACAAAAAAAACCATGGGAAATTGATACTCACGCTTCTTATTGACAGAAGTGGTCTGCATTTACTTTCCTAAAGAATTAAGGGTCAGTCTGAGAATGACTGTTATTTTCTGAAATGCACTTAATACAAAGATATTGACAAATAAAAAAATCACTAATAGAAAATCGAGGTTAAAAAAGGCCAAAGTGTCATTCCTGTATTTATGTGCTTAGAACAATAAGAACTAAAATCCACTTATGTGAATTGACCTAAACTACCAAAGATCTAAACAATTCAAGAAAACCACGAGTAAAGGTGCATCTTATGAGTTATATGAATCTACATAAAATCTTTTCTTGCATAAGAAACGAACTTTTATCTTCATAGAATATGAACTATTCTGAAATATTTATTTTGCTGTGTAAAACTTTTGGTTAAGAGTTGCACAGGTGTCATTCAGGTTTTAATACCATGATATCAAGACAGCTGACAAATTGCATTGGGTTTATGAGCACTTTGTTATTACATTCTAATAGAGCATTAATTATATATTTTCATGTGATTACAATACATGAAATATAATTGAGATTGTTAGAAAAAAAAGCTTAAATTTACTTCAAAATGCTTCTACAAATCTCTAGCACCTACAGTGACCACTTGAAATTGATGTACTCTATTCTGAGAGAAAAGTGAAACCCATCTAAGTTTGCCAAATTGTATTATTTGGAAATATCAGAATTACTATTTTTGTTCTTTTTTTCCTTCATCATAAAATGCTGAAAATATCTGTGAAGAAAATTTTGTAGTTTTACAACTAAATACACTGTCACACATTCCTTGACTTGTATGAAATTGGGAAGTATTGTGATGAAGTTGTTTTCCTTAGTCCTACACACCAATCTGATTTAGTAGCATCATTGTAGTAAAAAAAAATTACTTTAAGAACTGAGATTGTATGTACAAAATCATTGAGATTTAGAGAAAGTGTAGTATATTAAGTATACTTTCTATTGTGCTTCTTTATATGTAAGCTTTAATATCTATACTTATCATCATCCTTACAGAAGCACTGCTAACAATAATTTTTATATTTTATTATGTCATATCACTTTATTTCAGGAATGGAAAATTTTTCAACTTAAAACACAATGAAATTGTGCTTAGTACAACAGTTGTGTGTACTTTAGCATCCAAGATCATGATATTTCTATCTGCCATGCACTATACCAAAACCATACATGTTCATAGTGCTGCAGCCTAGGATTTTCACTGATTTAATGACAGCAGTTTTTCTGCTGACTTAATCTTGTCAGCACAAACCAGTTTGTAGACACAAATATGCAGTGTAAGGCAGCTTTCTTTCCCTAATGTATCTGTAGATGTCTGCATTATAAATACATAATCCTTCTTGCCTCTAAGTCAGCTTTTAAATCCAGTGGCATTCAAGTTTTACAGGTTAATCATACAATTTGCAAGCAAAAGTTCTGTTACCAGCTTAAAATTTGCTTTTCATTAATGGATATGCATGATTTTTTGCTTCTTCTCTTTGAAAATTCCTTGATCAGTGCTACAGCACCCACTGAACTGTATCGGAAGAGAGGAACGGTCCATCCCATCTGCAAGGAGAGCTGCTGTTTCTGTGTACTCTTGAAAAAAGATTAGTTCATTCTGTGAAATCAAAATGTGTTGAGAGACTGTTCCCAGACAAGCAGCTGCTGTGTTAGATTTTCATTATCGAGGGATTGATGAGATTTACTCTGGGCTGCTTTTTTCCATTGTGCCCTGGAGATAAGAATTCTTGTCTTTCTGCTAGTTATATTTTAACCTACCTGTTGGTTTCCTTATTTGAGAAGCTAAACACAGCAGACTTTGTGGGAAAGACTAAACACTTGCAGTGCTACTGCTTCTAAGACGCCTTTCTTGTTGAGCACCCAGTCCACTGATAACTATAATAATTTAGTGCATGCGGTTGTCTTATATAATATAGAGAAATTAAATAACAGATGTTTTGGGTGCTTTACTGACTTAATGTGGACTCTTTCTGGATTCATATATGCGCATTGGATCTTAGCACTTAGTAAACCAGAGCCAGAATCCTGGCTATGGCTGTGTTCGCTGGTGCTGAAAAACTATTTTTAGACCCTTGGCGATTTAGGCAATTGGAGATTGTCCCTCTTTTAACTAAAACACTCTCTGTTGCATAATTCAACTGACCATCAGCTTGGTGAAAGGGACAGGGAGTGCAGGGGACTCCACAGAGCACTGGGAGAGTCCCCTGCTCTGGGGGAGGCAAAACACTGCTACAGGTTAAGGACTTTATTGGGCAAAGACTCTGTGTAGGTGGAGGGTTCGTTAAGCAGCACTGAGAGTGTTGGAACAGTCAATCATGTTTACTTGCAAGGTTGAAAATAGATTAGTGTTACTAATTTTCTCTGCAAAATGTCTTACAAAGACTCTCAGTGCTGCTAACTCAGGATTACATGAGCATCTGGAGAGAACCATTCCTGTCTCTAACAGTGAATGTCATTATTAGGCCAAACCACAACCTCTGAGAAAGATAGCTGGATTCTCACCATATTTCCATAGATCTACAACATTGATGCTTTCAAATTTCCGGCTCAAATGGAAGGGAGGTGTAAAAGATATTGAGTAGGGCTCAAATGCGTGGCACCTAAATCCAGAATCTATTGTTCCACTGTACAAAAGCTGGGTCAAGGAGCGTGAACCAACAGACACCTAACAAGATAAGGCTAGAAAATATGAAATTTTTAAAGACCTTTGCTAAGTGCATCCATCCTTGCTTTGCTACCATCAACTACTGTTGATGTAACAGTAATAGTTTAAATTCAAAGGGTAAATTTAGATTACATATATGAAAGAAGTTGTTTCTCAATGAGGGTGGTGAAACACTTGAACAGGTGGCCCAGAGAAGTATCAGACGCCCCATCACTGGAAACATACAGATCTACTTGAAAATGTCTCTGCTCATTGCAGGGAGGTTGGACAAGATGGCCTTTAAAGGTCCCTTTCAACCTAAACTATTCTGATTCTGTGATATGCCATGCACACCCTCAGTTCCCTCATTTGCAAAGCCTTTAATGACCATAGTAGCCCTTCACATATCTTAATTCCTAATCTCACTAAATTCTGTTGTGTCTTCTTCAGAAACAAAAATTATTGGAGCAGAATAGAACATGGGGTCATAAATTTCCTTCAGAAAAATGAAATGGTTTCATAATCTAAGTGGCATGGTTAGCTTTCGTCTTGAAAACTTCAATAATTCACTTAACATAAAGGAAAGTACACTAATATATCGATACATGATGTATTATCTTTGCTATTATACTTCTTTTAGCAGTTTATATCCAAATCAATAATTTTTAGCAGGATATTTGGGTTTTATGGAATGCGTGAAGACAAATCTCACATTTCTTAGAATTTCTTTGAGGTTGTTAGTAAAAGTGGTAATTAAAATTGCATAGTATATTTACCTATCCTCTTCCAAAAAAATCACTGAGACAAAATTTCCTAAATCAACATTCAGAGACCTTAATATTCTATAGAGACATTGATAAAAACTTAAAAATTCAAGCTGACATAATATTTTTTTCAACACCCTGAGAGGCAGTTTTAATTAGATGGATTCTTAATGGAGTTTTCCATGTTCTAGGCTAAGAGGTCTCATAATAGTCTCATTAGACCATATACATCTTCAGCTTCAATGTAAAAGCCAAAAATACAAACTAAAATAAGTAAGTTGTCTCAACTGTCATGCTGATGACCTGTAGGGTCTGTTTTCACTTAAAAAGAGGCAAAATAAGGTTTTCAAAACCAAAACTTGCCTAAAGAATTAATCACAAATATCATTCCTACTGGAAAAGGTAGAGGATTTCCAAAGCTGACCGTCACATTCCCTTAAAACTTTAATTACAATATTGATGTGGTAAGTTAGGGAGTGCTGGACATAAATTCAGAAATGACCATGTTAATAATGGTAAGTTTAGTTAGTGCTGAGTAAGTGTGCAAATATGATTCACCAATCAGTCTACATGTCAATAATAAGCATCAATCAGATGCATGAAACATGAAATGTTGCAAGAAAACCATTTTTCTGAAGTATAAACTTAGTATAAAATAAGTTTTTGACAGAAATTACAAGTGCCATAGTAACCCTGGATTCAAAAACTCATCACTTTTAAAATGAGAATGCAGAAGAGAATATATAAATCTCAGTGTAGTAAGACTTTTTCTCTGAGCTCTGCTATCTCTCTTCTTTTATTAGTATCCTTATGAGAAGCATATTCTGCTACTTAGAAAGAAGTTTACAATGTTTGTTCAAATTCTGTGACCTTTAGAAAAAGAAAGCACCTTACCTGGCAAGTTCAGTTCTGGGTGGGCAGAAATGTCACAGTGATTTTGTGCTTTTGGATGTGGGATGTAGATCATTCTGTTTATCATTCGTTCATTCATTCACCCCATTCAGTTTTATTCTTCTGTATTTTTACCTTCTATAAGTCTTGGGAAGAAAGTGAAAGGAGCAATACTACATCCTATAGAGGGATATGACTTGAAGAAATGCATGTCATGAGATAACTATCTTGCAAGACCATTTGTTATACCAGTAGTGCCAAAATACTATTACTGTATAAAGAACTTCTGAATCAGAAAGTCAAAGGTAAAATATCTAATGTAAGAAGCACAAATTAAATTGAAAATTATGTAGATTCATCACACATTGTAAACTGGTGTGTTTCTTAGCTGAAATCATGAAAACTTAAAACAACTTTGTAAACATTGCAAATACTCAGTTTCCTATCTTAAAATAAAGTATACAGCTCCTTAGATTAAAGTATTTTAATTCAAAATTGTTGGAAAACAATAACAAAGTTCAAACTTTTAGACAAAATTTTGAAATTTTGTGTCAGTACTGAGATGCATGGACTCCGCCAGCAGAGCAGAGCTTGATTTTAACTATTTTTTGTTCTTTTACTTTCCTTTTTGATGCTTCAGTGCAGCTCACAGTGATAAGCACCCCTCTTCTGCAAAATTATCCTGGATTACACAGTGAAGACTCTTGCAGTTTGCCCAGCAAGTGGAGATAGATGCTTTCCTCTGCACAGCTTTGGGATGGCATACCTCCTTAGTGCTGCCCCAGCTCCTGAGCAGTACCACTCTGGGCTTCATGGTGGATGGAGTGGGAAGAGCTAACAGAGCAATGGCTGTATTCCTTGCTCTACTGCTTTTCCTTAAAGCGCAGGTAGGTGGTTTGTGCATGCTGCACAGACCTGCCTCCTGCCCTCTCCTGTGCTGGTGCATGGCAGGCAGGCTGTCACAACCATCCTGTAAGGAGGAGAGAGCCGGAGGACAGCTCCTTGTCAGGACAACTTGAGGCAATACTAGGAGCCTTGTGTAACTGCTGCCTTGTTTCTACATTTTCCATTAGTTACCGACTCATCTGTAGCTTTTCCTTTTTTTCTTTGTGTAGCAATTATATAACAAAGGTCATGTGAGTACAAAAAATCCTCAATAATAACACATGTAGTTTCCCAGTATGTCATTTCCCAGTAGTGATGACTTCTGGCAGTGAGCTTCATACGTCCTAATCTAAAACAAAGGCCGCACAGGAAGAGAAAGTGACTCAGTCTTTGAGTCTCAGAAAGCAAACATTATCTAACCAACGTAATCTCGTCTTTATGAGCTTGAATGAGGTGTTTTGCTAGGCTTGGATTATTTTCACATGGGGATATGTATTAGGAAGAATGGAAGCACCTTGGGAAACTGACAACATTTGTTGCTAAATGCTCTTTAGCTGAAAGATTTTAGAGATATTTTGTTTCATCCAGCCAGCAACCAACCCTCATGCAGTCACTAGACCACTTCTCCACAAGTGAAATCACAGAGAGAATTGGAAGGATAAAAGCCAAAATCCCATGGGCTGAGATAAAAGCAGTTTAATAGGGAAATCAAAAGCTGCACACACAAGAAAGGCAAAACAAGGAATTGATTCACCACTTCTCATGGGCAGGAAGGTGTTCAGTCATCTCCAGGAGAGTAGGACCTCATCACATGAATAGACACTTGAGAAGACTTTACTTTTTTTTTTTGACATTACTCAAAATGTCACCCTCTTCCTCCTTCTTCCCCGACTTTATATAATGAGCCTGATGCTATATGGTCTGTAATATCCCTCTGGTCAGTTGGGGTCACCTGTCCCAGCCATGTCTCCTTCCACCCTCCCAAGCATCCTCACCCCTGTGGCAGTACGAATAGCAGAAAAGGCCTTGGCTCTGCTCAGCAATAACAGAAACACCTCTATCCATCAACTCTGTGTTCAGCACAAATCCAAAACAAGTGTATAGCATCCCATAGAAAGCCATTGTGAAGAAAATTATACCAGCAGAAAGCAGCACAGGTATGTATGTGCTTCCCTCAAGGAAATGACCATATTTCAAAACTTTGTTTTGTCCTAAACAGGTTTGTCAGTAGTTTCTTGGGTGATCTGGGAGAGAAGAGGAATGAGATTTTTATCAAAAAGGAAATTTATGATGCTTACCCAATGTCTGAGTCCGTGCAAGTCGCCTGCTGGGGGCACCCCTTCTACCGAGAGCAGTCCTGCTTTTCCTTAGCCTACAAATGTCCTATCTGTCCAGCCGTTCTCCTGCCATGTGGAAACAGGTGCTGCTATTTCCAGTGATTTCATGGCCTCTTCTTAACTGAAATACCTCAAACCTCATGTCTGCCCAAGCACCTGTTCCTCAAGTGTGGCCCTGTGCTGGGAAGCAGGATGATTCACTCATGCAGCTCTGTGGAGTATATGCCTCATTACTTTGTACTGTAGGTGTGTTGTTCCTTTGCCTTCCTCCTGCAAACACCACAAAACATCTCCCCAGCAGGTGAAACACTCTCTGCACTCCATCCATCTGGATTTCCATGAGGCTCAGAGAACTAAAGATGTATACCAGTTTCTAACAGCTGCTTCATCTTGAGTGTCAGTCTCTTCTCCCTGGTAACAAGCAATAAGATGAGAGGAAACAGCCTCAAGTTGCTCCAGGGTAGGTTTAGACTGAATATTAGGAAATATTTGTTGACCAGTAGGATTGCCAAGTCCTGGAACATATTGTACAAGGAAGTAATAGAGTCTACACCCTAGGTGGTATTGAAAAGATGTGTAGATCTGACACTTAGGGTCATGGTTTAGTGATGGACTTGGCAGAGCTAGGTTAATGGTTAGACTTGATGATCATAAGGGTCTTTTCCAACCTAAATTATTCTATGATGTTATTATCTGCTGCTGGGGGATGGATTGCTGTGGAAAATCAAGTCCTGGCTATGGTCTTCTTTGAACACCCTTGGAAGCCCTTGGGAGCTCTGATGATTCTTCTTTGCCTGCTCAAGTCTTCTGTCCCCTCCTCCTCCTTCATGAGTCCTTCAAATCATACGTCTTCCTGGCAAAGTAGGTGGAGTAAGAGCAGACAACTTTCCTTTTAGCACTGCAAGAATGACCCCAAAAGAATGTACTCAAACCAGTGTTGTGTTTATATTTTAATTACCCACGGACATGACCTTTGGCTGAGTTGTCCTTCCAGTCATTCCAGGAAGATATTGTCAGTCAGTGTTTTATACAGCACTTCTGAAAGCATTTTGGAAGAAACTGCAGTGTTAGCTCCATTTCAGAGATGGAAAAATCACCACATGAAAAATCAAGTAACTTTTAACTGCTAAAGTAGACATGCAGAGCCAGGGAGTGTGGGAAGCTTTATCTGTGCCAGAAATTCAGGCCAGCATGTTTCAGACACCAGCATTCCAAAAGCAGCACATGTAGTTGTTAATTTTTAGCCATTCTTAGGGCAGTACCTTCCCAGATTAATAAACTGAACTACTAACAAATATCTTGTTATATTCTGTGCAAGTTATTTAGAAGTCTTAAAGTAACTTGCTTGGTCAGTCTTCCCTTATTATGTTCAGGGAAATACAAGAGGCATTTCAGAAAAGAGAACAGCAGAAATATTATCTACTTAGATAGCAATCTGAAGTGAATAAATGCAACTCAGTTATTGACTAAAAATGTCCTTTGTTGCTTTATTCTGCCACTAAGTGCCAACAGCCTGTGCCAAGTGCAGACTTGATTTGCGTCACCACTATGGTGATTTTGTCCCTATGCTAATTTTGTGATGTATGACAGCAATAACCTTGTAACTCTTGGACTTACAGGGAGGCAAGGATGAAGTAAACTAGATGTGAGATTTTTATGGTTATTCTTTCCTGCAACATAGATTTATGGAAATGCTGTCCGTCAGGGGGACTGCTTGCCTATCTTTTGTCTTGCACAAACGTGCATTCATTTCAACCCTTTTAATAAATCTTCAAAGGGAACAACAACAACAATAGTAATACAATAGCAGCAACAATAAATAATACTCATAAAATCACAGATCACAGATTGGTTTATGTTGAAAGGGAACTTTTCCCTCAGTCATGGAGAGGGACATCTTTCACCGGACAAGATTGTTCACAACTCTGTCTGACCTGGCTTTGATCCTTCCAGGCATGGGGCATTCACAACACCTCTGGACAATTTGTGCCAGGGATTCATCACCCTCAGAGGGAAGTATTTCTTCTACATATTTAATCTAATCCTCTTATTTTTTAGCTCAAAGCAATCCTTTCTTGTCCTGTCCCTCTATGCTCTTGGCAGAGGTCCCTCTCCAGCTCTCCTGTAGCCCATTTAGACACTGACAGGATGTCCAAGGTCTCACCAGAGACTTCCCTTCCCCAGCTGGACACCTCCAAATTTCTCAGCCTATCTTCACAGCAGATTTGCTTCAGCCCTCTAGTCATCATCATGGCCTCCTCTAGACTCACTCTGTTTCTTGTTTTGTGGGGAAGTTATGGTGTGAAAAACCAACAATAATAATAAACCAACAATAACAATAAGAAAAATAAAATACTAAAATTGAACAAAAAATAGAAAAAATATTGAAATTATAAAAAAAATGAAACAATAAAGTAGTACAATAAAAAAGTAATAAAATAGAAAATAATAATGTAATGACATCATAAACTGTGTTACTTGTGTGGAAATGGGTCTGTGGCTGCCTGAGGTCCCAATGTTGGGAAGATGCTCCAGTTGCCCTGAAGCTGAAACACTGGTTTTTGGAGGCTGGAGGGATGGAGGATATTTGCAAGCAATGTTTTTCCTCTGCTCCCAACACTGCATCAAAAGCAAAGAAACGATTAAAAATTAAAAAAAAAAAAAAAAACAAACAACAAAAACCCACCTAAAAACCAACCAAAAAAAAATCTCCAACAACCAAAAAAACATTAAACAGAAACAAAACAAACATCCTAATCCCTCTTCTCAGATAAAAAAAAATATAAAAGAAAAAAGAAGATTTAAAGTACAGTGTCACTGGTGATGATTTTTTATTTAAATTAAAGACCTGTTGAATTCTTATGTTTTCATTTCTATGGATTACAAAAATTACCAATACCATTTCTGTTCTTTGACCTTCCCCTTTACACACGCCTGTAAATTATGTGCAGGATTACTGATTATGGATGAAGCACATTCTGACAGGTAAAAAAATCCTTGTTTGCAATATTAGCTAAATAACCCAAAGTTCTTGGACAAATTTGAAAAAGTTCCTGGCTTTGCCATCAGTTTTGTGTATAAACAGTTTTGTGTTTTCAAGTCTCACAATTCCCTTTCTTGTTTTACAATCAGATGCAGCTCATTATCACTGAATTAGCATGATCAGAGGTTTGGACTTGGCTGATGTTGAGGGAAACTTACTTGTGTGTCTGGAGGTGAGAACGTTTACCCAAATTCAATTCCTACGGAGTGCAACTGCTGAGTCTGGAAACACTCTGTGAACTTCAGTTCCATGAATTGCAGGAAATCTTGGATAAAAGCTTGTTAACGGGAGTGTTTCCAACTTTTCATGGGTAAGGCCAGATCTTTAGCTTATCTCTAGTTCTTATAGCTTGCATCACCAAGAGTGATGTATTTCAACCTATATGCTTGCCTTTCCTATGTGTTAATATCTATGACAAGATGTGAAATTTAGTGGCACCTGCCTACTTTATCATTTTTAACTAAACAGTCTAAGGTGGGGTTATTTTTTAAGGGAAAGGGTTTCTAAAATTAAAACGTAGTTTTAGACTACTAAATTTGGACTGAAACAACTGAGTTACAAAAGCAGAGGTCAATTCTAGAACTGAGATACCTTTAGAATAAAAAAAAAAAATGTTAACTTTTTTCTTTTTAGGAGGGTTTTGTGTCTGTTAAGGCAGTGAAGGAAAATTTCACTTTACATTTACATTGTATGACATTTTCTTGGCTGAAACAATATTACTTGCATTAGACTGATGGTGGAAAAAAACAAAATTTAAAGTCAAGGAGTCAAGGTACTCAATTTCTCTCCAATTTGAGAAAATAATCTGGTTTTAATATTTTTAAAGTGTGTTGGAAATGACCATTTGATCATTTTGATGTTTTTTGTATTAAAATCTTTTCTGTGTTTTCAAAAAAGCATGACAGATGCATTTCATTAAACCCACATTTCTTCAGTGAGTTTTCTCCACAGGTGTGTGTTAAGCTGCCTCTGCAAAGAATTGAATGAATGAATTGAATGAATTAATCATTCTTTGATATTAAAAGTCAGTGATTCCCAGTTTCTTTTTTTAAATTTATTTGGCTTTTTTTTTTCTCTCAGCCCATGTTTTCTCTTATCTCCAACCAGGAATGAAACCTCCCTTAATAGTTGGATTATTTTTATAGGGCTAGATGACCCCATGTGTCTTGGTCCTTCCAGCTACAACCAGTTTCCACAGACTTCACTATCCAAATGCATCTTTTAAGACTGTGGGTACCACACTGGGTCTGAACACATGAGAGATGAATCAGGAGTTTCTCAGCAGAAATGCTGGTGAATTTAACATTTAGGTTGAGACAAGATTGGTTTCAAGGGGAGAAGAAGGAGGGAAAGAGAGGCTATTTAAATGACCTGCAAGGAGGATGATAGACACCTGTCTTATCTGATTATGGCTGGGACAGAGGGCTGCAAGGAGAAGTGGAACAGTGTGACAGTAGACAGCTGTACAGGCCTAAACCAAAGGGCAATAGGGCTTTATGGCTGACACTAAGTTGCTATAAACTCAGGTAAGAATGATTTTCCTACACAAGTAATGTGAGGGAGATCTTAGTTTACTTTGTTTTATCCTTTCAGTTTCTTGGCATATAAAAAGCCTGGCCAAACTCAGCATAGGGGAGGCATTGAGAAAAGGTCATCTGAAGGTGGAACCATGTGGACATTTTCAACTCTGGCTTGCAGCTGCAAAATATTTGTTCAGCACCTAAACCAGTGGGCACAGGAGGAAAAGAAGACTGAGTCCTGCTCCTTTTCCTTCCCTGTGATTCAGAAGCTGGAAACAGGAGAGCATGGCACACTTGTGACCTGGTTTTTGCACTGTCCTTCAGGAACTTGATAGCAGTCCAAAAAGCATTCCTCAGATCACAGGCTGTTGACACAGTACCTCAATATGAACTGTGAAAAAGCTGGCTTCATTCTATATTTACTGCCACTGGCAGCCACCAGGAACTGTTCTGTGCTTGAAGCATTTCTAGCATGCTCAAAGCTAGCTCGTAAGCCCCAGAAAATGAATGTTACACAACAAACTGGATCTGATATAACTGGGCTTAGGGTATCACTAGGTGATGCCCCTTGCATTGACCTATGGAATATTAGCCACAATGTTGTGGTTCTTGATTTTCAAAACTATTTTTTATGCTGTTTTTTTTTCTAGTTTAACTCCATGAGCTGCCATACTGTAAGGTCAGCTGAGTACCCACAGAAGGGAAAACAACAAATCAGATGTTTTAGTGCAAAAGGGTGTGAGGTTCATCACTGTCTTACTAGACCCATGGAAATAACAAGGGGCACAAAAAGTACAAATAGGAGAAACCTGGTACACAGAGGGTAAGAGAAATATATATTTAAATGCCCTTTGGCAGAACATCCCTTTTATGAAGAAAGAATGGATATAATTGAGTTGAAAGTTTTTATTCTTTAAAAAGGAAATTAAGATTTCAGACCTCTGAAAGGAGAAATTAAAAAGAGCTGACAATTGCGGATTCATTTTGCTTTGCTCCCTTCTTTCAGTAGTTCCAATGAGGTTACCAATATGCTTACTGAAGAAGCTAAAATCCTGGAAGCTTTAGAAAATGAGATCAAATTCAAATCAAATTCAAACCTGTAAGTTTGCATTTGTGAACAAGCCATACAGTTGTACATTCATTACCAATGAATGTACAATGTGTAAATTTCTTACCGTATCTTCATTGGTGAATTTTATGTATAGAAGGTGGAGAGTGGTTTATCTTCTGTTCTGACTTTCCTTCAGCTGGGGGGAAAAAAATCCTTGACTCAGGCTGAAATGTATTTTGTATGGGTTGTGATGGTTTTAACTTCCAGCCTCAGTTTACAAGATATGCTGGGCAAAAACAAAGGAAGGAAGAACAGTAGCCATAAGTGAATGAAATCATGTGTTATGAAGTCCTGGAAGGGAGACAGGGACAAGTCTTATCAAAGGTTTTCAGCATGGATCAAGTGGAAAGTAAAACGCAGAAAAGAAACATTCAAACTAAGATTTCTGCAGGTGATTCAACTATTTTTTCCCTTTTGTCTAGTAAGCTAGCTTTAGTACTGTGGTAATGCTGAGTCCTCAGTCTGTTTCAAACCAATACCCTAGTTACTTCAAAATCCTTGAGGTTTCACCTTTTCATTTCTCTGTCTTGGATACAGAAGAATAATTTTTATATTTGTTAAGACATCAATTAAATTTAAAGTTTGTGGTGTAACTCTTAAATTTAGAAGCAGCAGTTCTGCTGTTGCATATTTACTGGCATGGGAAGTCAGTGATCAGAGAGAGTAAATAATCCTCTCATAAAGTAAATGAACCAAGAATATCAGAGGTGCTACACTGCTCTTTTGTGATTACATGTCTGTATTATATGAGACACATCACCCACTTCCACTATAATACCTTCAGAATACTGTAAAAAACACAGCCTCTGAATAAGTAGGAGATCTTTGCAGAAATGGAAACTTGTGCAAATCCCCCCAGAGAAGTTGTGAGCAGTGCTGGTGGAACAGCAGTCTGAGGTCAGCAGTAGCTTTCATAAAACAAAACTCATAAACAAGCTGGTGAGTCAAACTCATTTCCTTGACTAACAGGAATAGGATTTCATAAACACAGCAATCGCATAGTGCTCTCCAAACCAACTGTGAACTGTTTTCGCCAGTTTATGCAGCAGAGAAACAGAGGGGAAGGCAGCTGTTTCCAGCAGCTCTTTTGGAAACGCAGCTAAAAAGAGGCTCTTTCCGAAAATATAATAGTGGTTAGACTGGGTAACAGGGGAGACATTTCATTAGGACTCTTTTAACTTAATACTTTACACCACCTTATTTCTGACCTACTCTTTGCTGAACTAGTACTTTTTTTTTCATGTTTACTCTATGTGTTATGTTATGGTGGCTTAATGTCCTTCTTGATGTATTTACTTGTGTTTAAAAAAGTCAGTGTGTAAGATCAACCTAATAAAACACCCCATTTCATAAAATTCACTGTCTTTCTAGTGAGGCAGCAAGGTCCTTCAAATCTTCTTTATTTCAGTGGAAATTCTGATAGATCAGATTTGTAAGGGAGGCAAAGACCTCACTAATGCAAATTCTCTGACATTTAAATTCAGAACACTGTTTCAAGTATTTATTATATTTTATCAGCATTTCCAAAATGTTGTGAGTCAGATGATCAAATACAAAGTGTATTCTGTATTCAGTAACAACTTTATTCCAAAGGCTATATTTTAAATATTTTAATTCACAAAAAGTTTATAATGTCTTTAGCCCAGTTCATAAATATTCTGGCATTGGTCCTCAGTGGAACTGCAGACCAGCTGCACACCATGAATGCACTGCCCTGGACATTTAATGTCTGTAGTCATATAAGAGGCCTAGATGATAGTCAGAATATGCAAAGAACACTCTGAGGTCCAAAGTGCCACCTGCAGCTGCCCACAGTGGAGGATTAATTTAGCTTACACACACCCTCCTTCAGATCTCCAGGTAGGGCATGGTCTGCAAAAATTTCCTGCATTGTTCTGCAGCCCTGTCCTTTGTGTTACTTCATTAATGGTGTTGACACTGAAAAGGTATTGAAACATCACAATGTACTAATGATCCAAGGGTTTGGTAAATAAACCATAAACAGTGAAGGAGAGAATGTGTTTGTCTCCTTATCTCTCTAACCTTATCTTGCTCTTGTTCAAAGAGATTTAGCCTTGCTGGAAGGTCAGGATCCCATGCAATCCCATCCCATTTCTTGTTTGTTTCTTGTTTCTCTGTTTCTTGAAGACTCAGACTGGCATTGCCCCAATCTTAAGGATATGCTTCTGCCTTTGCCACCACTTAGCCTGTGTAGGCAGGGGGAGGAGGTGGGGACAAGTCCTGACACTGGTTCCTCCCACTTTCTATTGCCTTTGAAAAGCAATGGAGAGCTTCCTCTTCCTGCATTTCTGCGAGCTGGTGGTAGAACCTGGTGGAGCAGGTCTTGAATCATCACAGTACAGTGAAAGCTGTCCATCACCCATAATAAATGCCTCTCACATGGCTCTGCTCTCGCACTCTGCAGGCAGAGCTCATGTCGTCATGACTTAGGAGCATGTGCTAGCCTTTAGATATTAGAGTGGTTGGTTGGCACTAAGTTTTTTCAGTGGAAATCGACACCAACTCTCTCCAGCACTGTCAGTGGGGAGTGGAAAGATTTTTTTCTTCTAGATATATTTTAAAATTTACCAAGATGTATACCAAATGGAAAAAAACCCTCATTTTTTCCTCAAAGTGTACTCTGTCATTTTTTAAAGAAACCTGTGCAGTATAACTCATGCACTGGAGGATTACCTGCTGCTATTTCTATGGCATAAACTCATCCTGCATAACAAGGGCTGCTCCTTGCATTCCTCTCCTTTTCCCCTCCAAGCCTCCTTGTGTGCCACTTGCTTTTTATCCTGAATTCCAACAACATATCTCACATTTCTTCCAAAGTTTTAATCCACATTTTTCACTTGTTCAATGACAAGTCTTTCTCTATTTCTCTCCTTTCTACCACTCCAGGATTTTTGTATATTTCTCTGGTTTTGCTATTTTCCTTTTACCATAATGCATCTACTCCTTACTACTCTCACTCATTTCTTTCTTTCTTCTTTCCCTCTCTCAGGAACGAATGCTTTCAGAAGTGTATTAGAAAGTTAGCAGAGTTGAAATGGAACAATTTAATTGGAAAAACAGCAAAGGCTGCTAAAGCTTGAAGTTTTGATGATCACATTCTAGTAAATCCTCCACCCTTCTGTGTTTCTGTTTTCCCCAATGGTAACAGTAGAGTTTTGCACTTCTATTTCCCTTGAAACTTCAAAACTGATTGAGTACATGTGACATTCATATGCTTTTGTGTAACAGTCAAAAGGAGCAATATCTTAGGGCTGAGAACAAGACCTTGCAAGCTCAGTCATCAACACCAAGAAGCTGACCTGGAGAAGATTTTTCTCAGCTGGGAGAAGATCCTGAAGACCTGATAGCTTCTTCATCCTTAAGGGTCAAGGGGCTGAGTGGAACAGGACAAAGGGTCCATGGAGAGATCAAGCTGTCTATAGACACAGGGCTTTGAACAAGCAAAAACTCCAAAAATACAAAACCCTCAAACTCTGAAAAGCTGGAAATCAGATGGTTTCTAACCAGTTGTTCTTTGTTTTGTTTTGTTTTCTAGTCATGACTGTTTAAGCAAGTGCAAACTGAGAAAATGAAAGATAAGTAAAAATTAATTTGTTGGCAAACTGCTGTGAATTTCCATCTTTGGCTATAGTACAGTTATTTCACCTGGAAAATTATAACGGCTGTAATTATTTTGGAAATGTGTTTGGCAGAGAAACTTGGAATGGAAGCACAATAAAGTTAATATTCTTTTTTATATAAAGTGAATGAATTTATATGCTGAAGTTGTAAATATAGCCTTATTGTACCTGCTATGTGCAACTCAGTGATGTCATCTAGGATAAATTTAGGAAAATGTTTAGGATCTTCTTTGGAAACAGGGAGCTAAAAAATGTGCACTACTGCTAAAAATAGACACACAGCAAGATAAAAGTTTAACCTTGCAGCCCGATGAGATTTCCTTGACATCACATAGTAAATGCAAGGGCTGGAGTAATTGACTGGATTTGGGAGGGAGAAACATTACAAACTTCTGCTGACGAAGAAGTGGCAAGACATTTCAGAAACAACAAGAGAAACCCTGATTAAACATAAAGAAAAACTCAAAATTCATTGTAATTGAAATGCTGGGCTAGCTGAATAGGATCAAGCAGAAATGAATGACATATAGTATCTTAAAACTAATATAGAGATGATTTCTATATATTCTATGAGTCAGAATTTGTAATTATGTTGGGAGTGTAACAGGAAAACTTTGCTACTAAAGAATACATCCTATGGTAAATATTGAACTCTATTTCAGGCAACCCAGTCCTCATATTTACATTAGGCTTTCCACATCTGTTTCATATCCAATTTATGTCAACAGTATTTGAAATCTCTTACCATCTGGGTTTTGGGTGGGCTGCACTGAATGAGTTACCAAGAAAAAAGTAACTTCTAGCACGAATTAAACATCATTCAAAGTCCTCTGGTGCCTTCTGTGAGCTGAATGGAGAAGCTGTAGAGCCTTGACTTGTACGGAATTGGAAATTAAGGAATGAACTTTTACAGAAGTAAGGAAAAATGTTACCTTCAGTCTGGAGAATGATGGATTAAGATATAGGACCTTCTATACAGTGATATTTGCTTATTATACAGAAATTTTGAATAAGCACCCACAGGTCCACAAGTCTTTTACTTTGCAAAATCTATTTCTTTTGGTCTGTATCTAATGCAAACTGTACTTGAACCATAACATTTCTAAATTTACAAGAAAGAAATTACTAGAAAAATAAAAGAGCTGGAACAGATGTTAACATCCTTACTCTAGGGAGGTCAAATGTAAATTCACTGTAGGAGACCAAACTCAGTAATTGGACTGCCTAACAAATTAGATTCCCAGTGTACGCCATGATATGTACAAGTTCTTTGTTTTTACACAATAGCTTCTTTATCACTGAAAACTTCATAATATGAAAAAAAAACATTTCTTGCAATATTCATGGTTTCTATTGAGGAAATAAAACCCTATAGTATGAATCTTTAAGTAAAAATTCAATGTTACAGCTTTTGGCTTGGATGTTACATCAATAGGTAAAGTAGGTAAGGTATGTCAAGGGGGCTTGCTTTCATAACCCAGTCTTGCTTTTGGAGAACTTAATGGGACGTTTGTTACTGGCAATACTAAGGGGTGGCTACAGACCAAAGGAGCAGTTATCAAAAGCTGTAAAAACAGGGAAAAGTACTCATGTAGGTCTACAGTAGTGACTAAGGGAGAACAGAATTTGACTTGCGACTTGCAGAGGTCTTTTCCAAGCCACATTATTACTGTTTCTATGACTATTTATATTTCATTACCAGAAGGTCTCTGGTAATGAAATATAAATTTTCATAGAAGCATTAATAATATAGTATTTTATTAGTGACCCCCTTTAAACTGAGTAATCTTAATCTTGGTATCTTTTTAATTTTTTGAAAGGATCATAGCTTTAAGAACAGGGAATAATGAATGCAGTAGGAAAAAATGCCTCCCCAGCATAATTGTCTTTTGTTTCTTGGTTGAACTGGTAACTACATAGATAAGTTATCTTAGGCTGAAAAATTTCCTAATGTCTTTATACCACTATGAGAAAAAAGTAATTTTTTTGGAAAGTCTGAACAGTCCGTAGAGACCAATAAATACAGAAGGTCTTGGATTAAATAGCTGGCAAAATACCTAACTTTTAGGCGGGGCATAATTAAAACAGAGCATTCAGTGACCATTCAAGTGTTAATTAATCAGCATAAATATTTGCACGTTCTTCATCCTTGATGAACTACTCTCTTCTGGAAGGTACAGCTTTAATAATGTTTTATATCACAGCTTTAAATATGTTTTATTCATGACATCATCACAAAATTTTGGCCTTGGAAGTGGCACGTGAGAGCTCAGGGTTTCTTGTCTGAGTGTTCATAACTATGGCAATTCCACTTAGAAACCAGCAAAAGAGCTGTGGGTAGGTATTGCAACCATATGTATGTCATATCCTTGGAACACAGCCGTCCTCATTCAGGGACAAGGAGGGAGATTTCCTTCAACTCTGGGTGCTCCATATCAGTTACTACTCAGTCATAGATCCACTGTGTTCTCCATGTATTTTGGCTTTGAAATGAATTACAAAAGGATGACAAACAGGAGAAACCTACTGACAAAATAGGATTAAAGTATGATTAAATTGGTACTATGTAGTGTTTAGTGCCTAGCTTTAGATGGGTTAACATTCCATTTTTATTTGTGTACGTGCACAGATTGAGTTTCTTGTTTGCAAGTGCCACCTTGTCTTAAGGTGACTGTATGATGCTTATATTCTCAGTTGTCTGTTCTGTTTATGCTGGATATTAAGTTTTGCACCCTTAAGACTGGTTATGAGGGTGAATGGGGGAGAAAGAAGCGTGCAGTTTGTTTTCAGACACTACACTCACTTGTCCACATTCCTGCTCCTGGACTGTGCTGTCTGTGGCGTGGACAGACAGCAGGACAGAGCTCTCTTTTGCTTTTAGTTAGGTTTTAGCTAGCTGAGGCAGAGAAGTTCCCCGGGCTGTGATTTTTCTTTTTCTTGGAACTGTTCAAACCTGCTCTGGGCTGAAAACCCAGAAGAGTACAAGGAGCTCACACCTGTGGCCCACCTGTGGGACACAGCATTTCTAGCACAGCAGGGACTGATAAGAGACTGAGTGAGCTGATTTGCAGCCCACAAAAAGGACTTTCTGAGTTTTCCATCTCTTCAGAACAGTGAGAGATTTTATTGTTTAATGTTATTCATTTTTTATGCTTGTGAATACTTGTTAAATAAGCAGTTTTTTCCGTTTTTCTCCAAGGAAATATTTACCTGAACCAGTAGGGAGAGGGTCTTGAATCTGCTTTCTGGCAGAGCCTTTTGGAATTTCCTCCCAAATTTGCCCTAAACCAGGACACACCCTCTGCACTCTTTCCTTAGTGTCTTTTGGGTTTATTGCCCTCACCAGGACAGCAGAGAATTGAGTTTAGAATCAGTGGGCTGTTACTCTTCTGTGGGCTAGAAATTACAGTACTGGCTGTTTGGGTGTTTGAGTTAATATCTATACCAATGATAAACACAGGATGAAAGAAAATGCAGAGCAGCTGGCAGAGGCTCAACAAAATTCTCCACCCTTCAGAGAATATTTCCTTAGGCTTTGTAACTAAGTTCTCAGTAATGCTAAGTTCCACTTAACAGGGATGTAGAAATATGTAGTATACAGTTTTTGAAGTCAAAGCAAACACTGAAGAACAACTTGTGAAATCTCATTTGGCAGAGGGAGGTTGCATCATTGACTTTTCTCTCAGCCTCAGGGGGTTTCATAACATCTGAAGATATTATCATGAAAGCTGACATTTTAGAAAGAGTCTAAGAATGGAAAAAATTATTAACCATTAAATATCAGGGATGTAAAGGGAGTGCACAAGTGATCATAAATGATCACAGGATGCTTAAGAAAGGAATGATCATTAATGGTTTTAAATATGTATGTCTTGTAATGTCTCTCATGTCTTGTGAAAAGACATCTTTATGGTCCCCATATGCTTTCCATGTTGGAAAACCCTCAAATGCTCCCACATTGCAACACATCTGGAGATTCCACTGGGTGGGGTCTTACCTGGTATCTTTGGAAAGCTACCCACAAGCATAAAAAGGAAGATATAGATGGCTTAATGTGTGAAATAAGGATAACTTTCTGAGTATCAGAGGTGCATTTATCATATTGAATTTCATGTGGCATTTTGTCATGCAGTCTGTGTAATTCAAAGACACCCTACCATAGGATTTTGTAATTGGCTTTATTCTGACTCTTCCAAGTAGTTTTGTGTCATCAGAGGTTACTGTTACACCACCATCAATTTTTTTATCTAAATTGTTTATGACTATGTTGAACAACAGACATCTTGCTGATAACTAATTCTTATAATGAAAAAGTTCTTAATTCTCTAAGTGCACATAACATTTGCTGCTGTTTCTGATATAAATAGAATATTACATTAAACACACTTTTCTAGGGCTTTTTAAATGCAGAGACATGTATATATGCATGTGTAGTATGTATTTCTTATTATATTTTAATGTATATATTATTTGTGTATATATGTCTCTATAGATATGTGCATCCAAAACCCTTTTAAAGACGAGTATTTGCATTTTCTTGATTGACAGGTATATACTATGCTGCACTATAAAAGAAAGAGTTGTAATAACTTTATTATGAAATCTATACATCTAGAAAATCATATGCTCATGCTAATACCATATAAAAATAAAGACAGTGTTGTTTGATTTGGCTGTGAAAAGGTATACTTTTGGACTACCAGAATATTTTTGCCAATGTTTTATCTTTTGTTGTCTTTAGAAAATTAATACAGTTTATCAATTAGCCTCAAAGCAGATCTGACTGAACCCAGGAACTAGCAGGTCTTCTCCTAAGACTGTGATATGTTTTGAAAAGGCAAACTGAAGTTACATGCTGCAAAGTTGACATGTAACATGAATTCAAGGACAAAAAAAACATCCATAAATTTTTAACGTGACTGACTTAGAACCTACCACACTTTTATGTGGAATGCAGCTTTTCATGTGAGTTTTTTTTCCTCTTTTTTCTTTTACCAGTTGAAATTTCATTTGGGATGAGGAAAGAAAAACTCTTCTCTTTTCTGGGACTTCCAGTCTTCAATCTGTAACAGAAAATAAGGCTTGCTCGCACATCTTAGACCTTCAACAAACGTGTTGTCATTTTATTCTGGCTTTGAGAAGGTATTTTCCATTAATGAGGTGAAATGATCTGATCACGATAACTCTTTCAAAATGCTCTGTATAGATTGACAGTGCAATTGAAATTATTATGAGTGGACTAAAATTGTGGGGTTTTTTATACAAATGCATTCAGCTAAGCTTTCTCTACATTGAGAGAAAAGTGAACTGAATAGCTGAAAGAAAACAGGAATCTACATGAGTAAATCATGTAGCCAACGTATTTTTCTATTTCTAAAGGTGCCTTTAGAAGGGATTCTGTTTTCTATTAAACAAAATGTATTGCCATTAATAACCTCATTGACTGCTGTATGACGACTTAGGTTGTATGAAGATGTCTGATTGCATATAATCAAGGCTGGGAAAGATAAATGGTATCATTTTCATTGTTCTTTTCATCCCTTTACTCATTTGTTTCTGGTAGTGTGTCCCTTTGGATCCTTCTGACTTGCAGAAGTTGAGACTTGTCATTAGTCCTTGGAACACCCCTAGAGAAAACAAAATTGCTACAGGTTATAGCCTGATGATTCATTCACTAGATGCTCTCTCCCTTCTGAGTAACAACTGAATCATAGCAGATGCCAAGGGTGGAACAGACTGCTTGTCACAAATCTGTGTGGCTATGTTTAGTGTATCCAAACTTTGTATTCTCCCATTCTAAGGTGTGTCATGCCCTCAAACAGTATTAGTAGGCTTGCAGGTAGAATTGGTCTGTTTTGTCATTCATGTTAAGCTATTATAGAAAGGAAATAATTGACTTACAATAAGGTTTATTTTAAGGGAAATGAAATGACTTCTCAAGGTTTGCAGATTGATGTCCAATTCCTAAAATCTAAAGCTATTTTCTGAGGAATGATAGGTCACACCATGAGCCTAACCCAGCAATAATCATTTTTTGTGGAGCTTTTCCTCCATGTCTTTCATTTTCCTATCCATCCCTGATCTACTCTTCAAGAGAGAACTGTACCTCATTATGGCATTTCTTATTCCTTATTTAAGACA